CTCCCTGGAACGTCTCTCCCCCCCCCCCCCCATAGGATGGGTGGCAGAGATGGTGGCAGACAGATGGGAGAGAAAGACCTCTACCCCCTGCAACTGCCCTGCAAACTGACTCTGACAAGACAAAGAAAGGGGGCCACGCCTGCCCAGCCCCATGATGGGAAATGACCCAGGTCCCAGGGAGGAGCAGGTGAGGGAGCAGCCAGGGCCGACGGAGACACACACTCACACAGGCCTTTCCCATGAAGGATCTGTGAGCCCCAGACAGAGAATGCACCTTGGAACCGTATCAGTGACCAAAAGCCTGTTTTGTTTTTTAAATATATTTTTATTGATTTCAGAGAGGAAGGGAGAGGGAGAGAGAGAAAGATCAATGAGGAGAGAGAATCATTGATCGGCTGCCTCCTGCATGCCCCACCCTGGCGATCGAGCCTACAACCTAGGCATATGCCCTTGACCAGGAACCAAACCATGACCTCCTGGTTCATAGGCTCCACCACTGAGCCACGCCAGCCGGGCCAAAAGCCTGTTCTTTTTACCCAATTCCACCAGCCCTAAGTGAAGAGATAGATACTTGGGTCCTAAGGTCAGAATAATAATTATTTTTAAAGATTTCCTTTTTGTTTATTTGGTTAAGGCAAGTGGGTCTGCTTTCAAACCTCTCACACAGCCCCTCACTCTGCCCCTACTTCCGACAGCGGAAAGTCACCCCACTGGTCCACATGTACCCCCTTCTCCCAGGACGGCCTGCCCTGCCCGCCTGGGTTGTTCCCAGTGCCTTTCTCCGGTTAACCAGACACCTTAGGGGAGAGGCTGGAACTCACCCACCCTGGCCAGGCCTCCAGGGGCCGAGGCCACCATCCTGGCCCACTCCCGAGAGTTCAGTGTGCAGCTGCTAGAAACCTTCAAGTGCTCTGAGCTCACTCGGGGGTGACAGGGGGGTGGAGGAGGGTGGGAGGTCAAGCAGAGACCCTCCTGGAATCTGCGCCCTTCATTAACTTTGGAATTCCACAGGCCAGTGTTTTCTCAAGCCTTCTGACACTCAGCACTCACCCGGGAGAGGGGGGCTGCAAGCCTCACACCCACAGGCTCCAGAAGGAAAAGCCAGACACAGCGTCCTGGGATGAGGGAGGGAGGAGGCCAGCAGCCGCCACCAGCCACCAGCAGCCGCCAGCAGCCACAAGGCCCCCATGGGGAGGAACTAACGTTTAGAGAGCAAACATTAGCTGGGAGGTAAGAACTAGAGATTCAGCAGCCTTTTGGTCCCAACTTCGTAGGTGAAGAAAGTGCCACTCAGAGAGGTTGAGGAACTAGAGGAAGGTCACACAGCTATAACACAGCAAAGCTTCCAAACTTCCTTGTATTCTGCTCCCACGGGGGTACCTGGGCCCCTGGGTCACCCTGAGAGAAGTGCTGGGCCTTGCAATCCAGGCTGAGTCTGGAGACAGGGGGATCTCCATGGCAGCCATGGAGTTGCCAATGGCCGGTGTTGATGAACACCAGGAATGTGCCTGGTTAACCTTCCAACCTGGGGAGATGGGTGTGTGTGCACGCGCACACACACACACACACACACCCCATTTTACAGAGGAAGAAACGGGTTCCAAGAGACCCGGGGAACTGTCCAGCTTATCTCTGTCTGGAGAATGCGGAGAAGCTGGCGTGCGCTCCAATCTGTCAGCCGTCACCATCCCTACGGCAGCTCGGCCAGTGGTCCTGAGTGTAGGTGAGGTTTTGCTCTAAAGACCACACTCTTCCAATCACTGCCCCCAAGTACATGTCCCAGTGCTCCTCCTAAAAGAAGTGTCTCAAGTGTCCCCGCTTAGAAGTCCTAGTGGACAGTTTCCCTGCCAAGGAGGGTACGAACGCCCAGAGACGGAAGGTGAGCTGCCTTTTTGCTTATTTGGAGGCGAAGAAGGCAGTAGAGTCACAGAAGCTTGAACAGACTGTTGAACCTCAGAGGGGAGGCAGGGGAGGGTGGGTGGGAAGAGATCCACCAATGAACTTGTATGCATACATGCATAACCCTTGGACACAGACAACGGGATGGTGAGGGCCTGGCTGGGGAGGGGGGCAGGACGGGAGCAGGCTGGGAGAGGTTAATGTGGGAAAAAGAAGGACCTATGTAATACTTTCAACAATAAAGATTTTTTTTAAAGTTGTTTTAACACAAAGGAAAAAAAAAAGGAGGCAGTAGAAGTTGCATCTCACGGCTCCAGGGATGGTGGCTCAGTGGCTTTGGAATCGAAAGGAACTGTTTTCCAATCCTGCCTGTGTGGCCTCTCTGTGCTCCCGTTACTTCAACACTAACCATGACCACAATCACAGTGCCGACCCCACGGTCTGTGCTGGGCTGGAAATGGAATAATGTCTGCCATGTGCCCGGCCCAGAGATCGGCGTGGCAGACGGCAGGTATTCCTCCGTCACCGTCCACAGGGCACCCCGCAGACGGGGCGGGTGCTCAGAGCAGCCAGCACGGAGGGGACACGGGAGTCTCACTTCTTTCTGTGACCGTTCCGTCCCCTGGTGCCCAAGCCCACCCTCGCTCTCCTGGGAGGAGCAGCAGATAACCAGGACCACCACAATGGGGTTGTTCTAGGGAGTAACCGATAAAAGGAGAAAATGCAGGGCTGTGGGCCATGTGATAAGTGGGGGTGCCGCAGCCACGGCGGGAGGGTGGGGGGAGATGGCAGGAAGAGGTGCCAGAGCCCTGCCGAGGCAGAAGCAAAAGAAAGAGGCAGTGCTGGGCCTCGGGGTGCCCCACTCACTTTTCCAGCAGAGCCCCTCCCGACCCCAGGATAGGTCTGCCCACCACTCCGAGCCCCGCCAAACCTCCCAGCTTCCCACGCCTCCCCACACCTTCCTCGGGTCACTCCTGGCCCTGCCCGGTGGCCACAGCGAGTGAGCACAGCACCCATCACACTGGGCTGCCGATCACGCTCACCCAAGGGCACAGGCTTCCTGGGGACCAGGAACCCCCAGGTGCTGAACTGAGATGCCAACCCCACTGCATCCCAGGGTCCAGCACGGTGCCTGCCTCCTTCACACCGTGGGGCACCGAGATCTTAGGAAAAGTCTCTCTCTCCAGGGTGACGAAGAGGGAGCCCCATTCTAAGAACCCCAAGAGCACCCCATGGCTGGCAGTGCTTGGCTAGCGGTGCTCGGCGCATGCAACTGTGTGTGTGCATGCGCGCACACACACACACACACACACATCCTTCTTGGCTTCCTGCTCTGCCTTCTCTTGAATGAATAACCTTGGGGACGTTCGATGGCCTCCCGAAGCCTCCAAGTTCTGGGCTGTAAACTGGGGGCACCATTGCCCACCTAGTTGGGCTGGTGAAGTGATACGGACGTTCCAAAGGAAAGGTGTTTCCCTGTCGTCTGTCCTTGTCTGGGAGGCTGAAAGGAAACCACTAAAGTCACCATCTGATCTCGTTAACTGTGGTGCAATAAATAAGGCACCTACTGTGTGTTCAGCCCGCGAGCAAGATGAACAAGTTTCCTGGCCTCACAGAGATGACTTCCTAGGGTGGGAGAAAGACAAGCGATCAAACACCGCGCATCAATGAATGGACCGTCACCGCACACCCAGGAGCTGTGACTGAACAGTGTGGGATAACCAGAGGGCCGCTGTGTCCACTAGGAGCTCTGGGAAAAGGCCCGCTGACAGGTGCCACCGGGCATGAGCGGAACTGGGAACCCAATCAAAACCAGAGCCCAGGCCCCGCCCCTAGTGCCGTCTTGGCAGCCGAGGGCCAGGTGGCCCCAGGTGACCCGAGCACTGGGGACACTGGCTGTGGGAGCTGCCCCTCCCCTCGGGCAGCCCAACGCTCAGGCAACCTCCCTGGGAGCTGCCAGCCTCACAGCTGCCAAGTCAGTCCTCCTGCTTGTCAACTGCAGAACCTCCGTTGCCAAGTCCAAGTCCAGCTGTTCCCTCCCTCACCTGCTGCTGACCTGCCACTCAGCCTTCCCATGGGCGGCGAGGCCTGTGACCTTTAATCAACTGCCCATGCCAACCGGCGGTGCCCAGTTCACAGTCCAGCACAGCCCACCGGCTCTGCTCAGAAACACTCAGTGACACCTCTCCTTGCTGGAAGCTTCCCCCAGCCACAGTGAGCCCTCACATGGCTCGGAGTCTGCTGCATGCCAGGCACGGCAGCTGTCATCACGTCAGTCTCCTTGACACCAGGCCTGTGAAGCATGACCTCCCTTCACTCTTACTGGATAGCGAGGGGCCGGGATTCCAGCAGTCACTTGCCCGGAGTCACGCGGTAGGTACCAGGCACCCTGCTGACATCCAGCTCATCGTAGCTCGAAGCACTGAGCCCCCAAATTGCTCCCTACTGCTACCTTCCCTGTTTACTCTCCAACGTCTTCATCAATGACCTGGTCTTAGTTCGCCCTTCCTGCAGCAGGAGACACCGTCCGCCAGGCACCAGGCTATGTCTTAGAGCAGCGGTTCTCAACCTGTGGGTCGCGACCCCTTTGCAGTCGAACGACCCTTTCACAGGGGTTGCCTAAGACCATCCTGCATATCAGATATTTACATGACGATTCATAACAGTAGCAACATTACAGTTATGAAGTAGCAACGAAAATAATTTTATGGTTGGGTCACAACATGAGGAACTGTATTTAAAGGGCCAGAAGGTTGAGAACCACTGTCTTAGAGACACAGAGCCACGCGCAAGAGGCCTGGCCTTCGAGGTCTGCTAGATGGAGACAGACACAAACACCGGGAAAACCCGTGAGACCGACCGGTACGATGACACATGTCGGCAGAGGAAACAGCCGTGGCTCCCGGGCACCACCTTGCCCTTCCCACCTGCCTCCCCTGAGCACCAGCCCCAGCCAGACACACCGAGTGTGTTCCTTCAATGCCAGCTCCTCTGGAGAGCCGGCCGCCTCCAGTGACCTGGCTACCACCCGCCAGGCCGGAGTCACCTGAGGCCCAGGTGAGCGCCTGGCAGACATGCATGAGGCGTGAGGCGGGACTTACGTTTCCTGGGGAGCCCCGAAGGGAGCTGGAGAGACCCAGGCAAACATTCCTGTCCACGATGCGAGCTCAGGAAGCTGGGGTCCTCCGTCCCCCTCGGGCATCCGGCTGCGGAATCCACGAGGCTTCCCGCACACCTTGAGCATCCAGCAGTGTGTAACCAGGAAGGCTTCGCCGGCGCGATTCCGCAGCAGCTGGACATCTCTGTAAATCCACACGCGCGGGAAATCCTCGAGTGACGCTCCATGCAGCGGACAGGTATGGCCACGGGGTAGGGGAAGCGGGCGTGTATCTTTTTAACTCCTTTGTGGTCCAGAGATCAGGCCTGGGGATGAGAAGAAGGAAAACCAATCTTGTTACAATCACACACCCAGCGCTGTAGGTGGTTATTCTCCTTTCTTTATATTTTCCCCTGATATACTGAGAGGGGAACTTGTAAAAATACTGCCCGATAGCCCTGGTACCCAAACAGAGGTGAGGTGGGGACCTGGGAACCCTTCAGGGGACGGCTGCCCTCCTCCCATGGGCACAGGACTTCTCAGAGAGGGGCTTTCTACTGCAGAGGGCTCCTCAGAACTGCCCTGGGAAGGCAGAGGGGGCTGAGGGGTGTCCACTATAACGATGAGGAGAGAAGGTTCCAGAAAGGTCAGGGGGCTGGCTTAGGGAGTGAACGCTGGGCCAGGCCTGGCTCACAGCCCTGGCCTCGCCTGCAGGGCAGAGAGGTCCTGGCAGTGGGCGGAGGGGGTTTGGGGTCAGCTGGTGGGAAGTGGCTCCTTGTTTGTTTCTGTTTGAAGACAGCCACAAAGGCCTGGCATGGCTCCCGGCCTCGCCCTGCGCCGAGAGGTTCTGCAGGGCACAGCCGGGGCCTGTTCCCTTTTCTGTTCATTCATCCAGCGATGGCTGGGTGCCCACTAGGTCCCCAGGACTGTCCCAGCTCCTGTCACCCAGCCCAGGGCACTACATTAAATGAAGAACAAATGCATCCATGATGCGCAGGGCCGGAGCCCCAACAGTCACCACCACCCACCGATGGCGATCACCGCCCTCCCCGAAGTGCCCGGAACTCGCCCTGCAAGAGCCCTGGCCGCCATCCCATACAAACCCCCAAGCCCAGGGGACTCCGGCCTCTATGTTCCAGATGGGGAAACGGGGACACAGACAGCTCCCTCAATCCGAACGAGTAAGAGGAGCCCGCACCTGAGGCTGGTCTAGCTCCCAAGTCCGCGCCCCAATCCGCCCCCCTCATTCCTGCCTGGAAATCCACACCTAAAACTTATCACCAGGCGTTTCGTAAGCACAGAATCCTCCCCTCATCCTCACAGCACCCTTCTCATCAGAGACTCTCCTTCTACCCGTTTTAGAGAGGAGGAAGGTGAGACCCAGACAAGTTAAGAAACTTGCCCCAGATCACGCAGCTAGAAACTCCCAGAACAGAGTTAGAAATCGGGCAGCCCGTGAGCTTGACCTTACACCAACTGTCGTCAAGAACAATTTGCTGCAACAACCAATTTTCAAAGACTTCGTGGCATAAATAAGGCCACTGTACAATCTTATGGTCTGGAGGTCAGAGGCCGACGCAGGTCTCACGGAGCTAAATCAGGTCTGGGCTGGCGGTCCCCTCTGGAGACTCTAAAACAGTGGTTCTCAACCTTCCTAATTCCGCGACCCTTTGATACAGTTCCTCATGTTGTGGTGACCCCCAATTTCATTGTTACAAATTGAACATAATTAAAGCATAGTGATTAATCACAAAACAATATATAATTATATATGTGTTTTCAGATGGTCTGAGGCGACCCCTGTGAAAGGGTCGTGACCCACAGGTTGAGAACCGCTGCTCTGAAAGCATCTGTTTCCTCACTTTTCTAGCTTCTGGGGGCCGCTCTCAGATGCCTCCGCTTAGCCTCCTGCCTCCACCACCACACACAGCAACACGGCATCCCTCGGCCCCGCCTCCACGGTCACATCTCCTTCTGCACCTGACTTCGCTGCCTCCCTCTCCCACGTCTAAGAATCATGTGATTCCCTTGGCACCACCCACAGGATCCAAGACCATCTCTCCTCCTCCAGGTCACGAACCGGCATCATGTCTGCAAACTCCCTTTTGACACGTAAGACAGCATGTCCGTAGGGTCTGGGGACAAGGACCTGGGCATCGTTGGGAGCCCACTGCTCACAGCAACCATCCCAGAGGGCACCCATCCTCCGTCTTAATCCTTCTTCAGTGACCAGGGATCCCAGGGTGGGCTCTCCCTGTCAGCACCTCCACCCTCCAGCATCGCTTTTCGACCCACGAGAAAGATGAGTTGAAAAGGAAGTTTGTGTGTCTAAATATCAGCCCGAAGAGAAAAGTGCAGGATAGGGGTGAAGGCATTAAAATTTGAAGCCAAAAAAAAAAAAATAAAAATAAATAAAAATAAATAAATAAATAAAATAAAATAAAATAAAATTTGAAGCCAAACTATCAAACCGACTAGCCATGTCCCCCCCCAGGGGAATGTGTTTAACCCCTAGCTTCCTTATCCATGAACCTGCTGTGAGGTCCCATGAAATATCAGCAGAAAGCCCTGGGCGTGTTGCAGGCACAGACTGAGAGCTCGAGTAGCCGTGCTCAGCTCCCACGGCTCCAGACACCATGAGCCGCCAGGCCGGGAGCAGCATCGCCCCAGCATCGCCCCAGAACGGCAGGGCTGGCGCTGGGTCAGCCGAGAGGGCCGCCTACAGCAGGAGAGCAAGCAGGGACGTATGGTTCTCGCCCCAGTTGATGGCAGCGGAGAGAATGGGGGACGCAGCCTGTTAAATATTTACGGAAGCCCCCAGGCAAGTCTGAAGCGAGTCTGTGTGGTTGGGGTCGGGCACATAGAGGCTCCGTCACTGGGAAGGACTGCGGCACGCTCTGCTGGGTATTACTGCAGCGAAGCCTGGTCCCTGCCCGAGAGCCGGGCGGTGTGGCGGCTGGGGCCAGGAGGCAGCACCGTGGGCTCCCCCTGCCAGGATGCGGGCACAGGGCCCTGCACACGACTTCCAGTATCACCAAAGGGAGCCTTTTCCTTGTCTGGGGTACGTGTGTCCTTTCAGGCCATTTGCTCTTTCTGTGATGGTTTGGCCAAAATTAAAAAGACAGACAATACCCAGGACTGGTTTCCATGCAGAGCTGGAATTCTCACACAGGCAGCTGGACGGACATTCTGGAGCAAGACAAACAACCACTCTGGGAAACTGTTCTTCATTGCCCCCTAAAGCAGAACGTGTGTGCACCCCAGGACCGAGCAGGTCCACTCCTGGGTACAAACTCAGGGAAATGCGCACGTGTTCACCAAAAGATACGTCTTAGTAAGTTCACGGCAGCACTACTCCTAACAGCCAGACCCTGGAGCTACCTGAACGCTCACAGCAGAATTTTAAAAACACGTACCCCATGGGCCCAGGCTGGGTGGCTCAGTTGGTTGGAGTGTCATCCCACACAACAAAAGGTGGCGGGTTTGATTACCGGTCAGGGCACATACCTAGGTTGTGGGTTCAATCCCCAGTCGGGAATGGGGGGGCAACCCATCCATGTTTCTCCCTCACATCTATGGTTCTATCTATCTATCTATCTCTATCTCTCTCTCTCCCCCTCACCCTTCCTCTCTCTCTAAAAATCAATACACACATCCTGGGGTGAGGAATTAAAAAAAAACACACGTACCCACGGAATACTACAGAGCAATGAGAATGACATACAACTACACGCAACACATGAATACGTCTCACCAACATCGTCTGGGTGAGAGAAGCCAGGCCCGAGGGAGTGCATACAGTATTATTTATATTAAATTCATAAAGAGGCCAAATGAACCTGTGCTGTTAGAGGTCAGGACAAGGTCACCCTCAGGGAGGGGGAGGGCAGTGAGTGGCTGCAAGGGACGGGGAGGGGCTCCTGAAATGCTGCTAAAGTCCTATTTATCCAGGCGGCAGCCACGCACAGATGTTCAGCGTGTGATATGGGTGCGTTTTTATGCGTGTCGCCTCAATAACATGCTGGTTAACACGTTTTTCTAATGTCTCCTGTGGACGTATGTTGCTGGGGCGCTGCAGCCTTTGCAACACACAGCCCCGGAGGCTTGGGAACCGCACCTCCCAGGTTTCCCTGGCCCCTGGGATCTTCGTGCCCCGCTGCCTCCCAGCTGACCCTGCCCCGGAAAGCGCGGAGGGGGGACACTTTGCAAATAAAACGCTGGGACCGCGTGACACAGAATTCAACACAGAGTTGCCCCACAGGAAAACACGGCCGACAGCCCCGTTCTCTTGGCTGAGTCTCTCTCTCTCTCTCTCCCCTCTGCTTCCTGGGCGGTTGGGACCAAACATGTCCTTTTTTTTTTTCTTTTTCTTTTTTCAGAGAGGAAGAGAAAGGGAGAGAGAGAAAAACATCAACGATGAGAGAGAATCATTGATCGGCTGCCTCCTGCACGCCCCACACTGGGAATCGAGTCTGCAACCCAGGCAGGGCACAAGCCCTGACCTAAAATCGAACCATGACCTCCTGGTTCATAGGTCAACCCTCAACTACCAAGCCACGCCAGCTGGGCCAAAACATGTCATTTCTTTCTTGACCCTTCCTACCGGGTATTTCAGAAAAACAGGGTGCCTCTACTTCCTCTCCGATTCCAAGAGAGCATCTCTGAACACCAACGTCCCCTAAATCTGGGATGCTCTGGGGGTGCTCTGGAAACCAGAAGACCTGGGTGCACTGGGTCCGTGCAGCCTGCTGAACGGGGCACGAGGCACAGAGACCGCCGGGCCAGAAGTCACCGGCACAGCTCGTCGTGCGAGCACAGCACGCATCCCCAAGTGTGTGTGAGACGCATGTCATCCCCTCTCTCTGCTTCTAGGTCTCCTGGCCTCTGCCTGTGTTTTCTCTTTGCAGCAGCGCGGCTATGCTGCTAATTTTAGGATGAGCAAGAGTCAGCAGGGTGACTGTCACACCTCTGAGAGCCAGCCAAGGGCAGCCGCCGGTGGGGGGGATGACGAAGCATTTCTCTGGGCCAGAGTCAGGTGGGTACCGCTCTCCCCACCCTGGCATGCCTCACTTTCTCCTTCTCTCGGGCTTGTAAAGTGAGAGTTTTTTCAACGCTGATGCCACAAAAGAGGTGTCGATTTAGTCTTTTTCTGGCGAAGGGAGAGGCGGCAATTTGTCTGGCGGTGTTCACAGATTTCTCCGGGAGCCCTGTGTGCCGGAGCCTGCGTAGTAGCAGAGAAATCAAGGGGATCTGGTCCCCTGGAAGTGGCCGCTGTCCTGCTGACAGACTCTATTTTTGCCTCATTTCCGATTCTCCCCGAGGGGCG